CTAAAGAGAAAACTAAAGGATAGAGAGATGAAGAAGAGAAGAAGAAGAAGATTTGGTGACTTTGTGAAATGCATCATAAGGAGCTTCACATGGTCATCAATGGAAGTTTTTTAAATAGAGAAAAATTTGGGGACTGAAGATATATATATGCTAAAGAGAAAACTAAAGGATAGAGAGATGAAGAAGAGAAGAAGAAGAAGATTTGGTGACTTTGTGAAATGCATCATAAGGAGCTTCACATGGTCATCAATGGAAGTTTTTTAAATAGAGAAAAATTTGGGGACTGAAGGGTGGGGGCGACGGAGATAGGCTCCGAAGTTGAGGGTGGGGCGGTAGTTTCTCAGATCTAGGATTTTTTTTTTTCTTTTTTCATTTAGAAATCAAACTATTGTTTTAAGTTTTAATATCCCTTTTAAATATTTTAGAAATATTTTGAGAAAATACTTTTAATGTTTCAATTGTTTATACTCATAAAAAAGGGCATTTTGGATATTTTATGTCTCAAAAATTGATCTCAAAGTGTCAAAATGATGTTTTTCTAAACATGAAGTTGCCCTTTTAATATTATGAAAAATACATGGTATTAACTCAATGTTTTACTATATGAGAAGGTACCGAAATAATTTTATCCCTTTATGGATATTTTTATGGAAATTTTAGGATATTTCACGAAAAAGATACTACACTCTTATTTTCATATATGTACTTTGAAAATATGGAAATTTATGTGAAAATTCCGGTAAAAATGTCAATTTTTTTCTTCCTGGTTACAACCAGATATAGAAATTCGATGAAGTGGCGCGATAATAATTCAATCTCATTAACTGTCATTAATTTTTTGGTCAATTATCTAATTTATTACGATTCTTAGATCAATATCTTACGATTAAAATAATAATACCTATTAATCGATAAATATTAGAGTAATTATTAAAGCCACACCCATATATATATCATAATCACATATTGAGTCAAGTCGTCAACATTTAAAAAAAAACTATTAAATACTCTTATAAACCATAAAACATACATAAATGTTATTATCAAACAATTTAAAATGCTTAATTGTAACACAAATAATTCATAATCAAGAAAAAACGTTCCCAATATGATTTTTGTGATTTCTTACATTTATAAATGATTATAAAATAACATTAGTGAAAAGATCACATACTCTAATTTATGATTAATTCTATAAAATATTTTGAAAGATGCCTATTAGAATCCCTACTAATCAATCCATGACATTTGGCGCTCAAATGACTCCGGTTTGTGAAAACAAAGTCGTTTGATTTTGAGCATCAAGATTTTAATGGCATGTTTATCTACGCGTAATCGGAATGAGCATGAATCAGAGTGGACAGGATTCAGAGTGGGTAGGATTCAGAGTGAGGAATCGGAGTCAGAATAAACTATTTACTTAGTGATAGGATTCAGAATCGGAGTCATTCCAAATCTCATTCATACGTTTACTTACACCCAGAATCGGAATGAAAAAATATAAAAGTACTAATATACCCTTCAAATCAATTTGATATTTTCAATTTAAAAAATATATTGTGTACTTATTATATTAAAATTAATCATAATTAAAATATTTAGTGTAATAATTGGGTACTAAAATAATAAATATAAATTGACAACTATTTAAAATATGAAAATAAATTTTAAACAAATTTAAATAAAATAAATATAAATATAAAATAGTGTTAAAAAATAAAATATATTATTAATTTATTAAAAAATAAAGCACATATTTATTATATTAAAGTTAACAATAATTATACTAATATTATAATATTAGGTAAATAAAATAATAAATATATGTTGTATTTATTATTTTTTGAATTTTATTTTTAATTGTGTATTTATAAGTAAAATAAGGGTATGATAGTAAATTAATATTAATATTAAGAATGAGAGTTTCAATTTTAATGGGAGTATGAGAGCGTCAATCTCATTTTTCAATCCTAAATTTGAGTGAGACCCACTAATCTCACTCCTATTTTAAGGTAAAAAATAATAAATAAACATGAGATTGACTCTCATTTTTTACTCTCATTCTTCAATCATGGTAAGTAAACATGTCATAAATTACCAAAATTGACCCTCAGATTCTCGGTCCAGAACGTTGAAAACAGGCCGGAAAGTCAACTTCTCAAATTTGGGTGGCCATATCAACCATTGACTGGTCAAACCCATCGTTAATCGGCATTGCCCAGGGCGGTTGAAGGTGGAGATGAGAACCGCATTGAAGGTCTTGAAGCGAGGAATATCTTTAATGTTTATGGTGTTGGTTTTCTCAAAAGGATGCCCGGTAATTGCAGAGAAATGCATAAGACATGGAGTTAGTGGTGGCTGCAAACCTAAATTTTTTTCCCTTGCGACGATTGGAGTAATGATAGGGGCAACAAAATGGTGTAGCTCACTGGCGAAAATGGGGGTTGGACAGCCCCAGAATCAAGCTTTGAAACTCTAGTGACAAAATTTTCCCTGCACGATTTCTGGTGACTAATGGTCGTTTATGAGAGGGAAGGAAAGAGTAAGTAGAATAATATATATACACACAAGTTTTTAATAATTATATTTTCATCCTAATTATCTTTAAATATAAAAATTTAATGATGTTATTATTATTTTTTTGCCAACTCTATATATACATACATATATATATATATATATATATAAGAAAGAGGAGAGAGTTGTTGCAATAGGGGAATTTAAGTTGATTAATTATTATTAATTATATATATATATATGTAAAAAGAAAGAGGAGAGAGTTGTTGCAACATAGGGGAATTTAAGGTTCTGTTCGATTCGTTAATTCGAGTTGAGATGTGATGTTGTGTGAGAGTTTTTTACTGTAGTAAAAAAGTTAGATGTGATTGTTTTTGAGAGTTTTTTACTGTAGCAAAACTCAAATTCTAAACTCGAATCAGCGAAAAGAACGGGGCCTAAATTTATTAAGAAGTTCCTAGAGTTGAGCATTTAAAATTTTCATCTAACAGTTAAGCTGGTATTCAAGAAAATTTTCACCTTAAACATTTAAAATTACAAACAAGGCCAAAAGATAATTTTCTTTTTTCATATTGTAAAAGTTAAAACTTATGGCTTGTAAAAGAATAATTGTGATCCCAATATTATTTCAATGTTCAACTAAATAATGAAATATGAATAAACCACTTAATTTATTTCTTTCCATTATATTTCTTTTTATATTTCTATTTATATTCAATTCTATTAAATTAAACATCTCTTAAATATCATCAGTGTAAGTAATATGAGACTACGTCTCTACAATGTGGAGTCTGCGCATTCACAATTGTTCAAAGTCCAAGGATTAATAATTCTGTTTATAATAAGTATAGGGATTTTATTATCACGTGTTTGATCAATTTTTTAAGATTTGGGATAGGTCACGTATCATAGTATGTTATTCTTCTAGATGCTTTAAATTAGAGGTGTCAATTGGGGGAGCGTCCATGGACGGCTCGGCCCAACCCGCTACAATGGTCAATTCGGCACGACCCGACCCTGTACTGTTATGAACCGACCCGGCCCAGCATGCCAGAAGGGTCTTGGTCGGGCCTCATGTTTGAGGCCCACAGTCCAGGCACAGCCAAGGCTGAGGCACAGCAAAGGCCCATGCACGGCCCAGGCTCGCCAAGGCCTAGGCACGCGAAAGGGCCAGACCCACAACATAAAATTTTAATGAGGTTTGAGACATTTTAAAGTTAATTGACCGACTTATACCGTCTGATTAACAAATCATTTTCTTGTAGTTATTCATATTATTTTAATAAAATCACATTTATTTGATAAAATTTTTAATGAGACAGTTATTAATGTGTATTTATTTGTATGATTTTAATTTAATAAAATTATATCTTTTAAAAATATATGATATATTTTTTTTAATTAAATATTATAAAAAAATTAAAAGGACCAAGATCGGCCTGTAAAGGATCTGGGCCCGAGTCCAGCCCTTATCCTTACAGATTAGAGCCGAAAGCCAGTCTTAAGCCTAAAATTTTCTCCCCAAACCCGGTCCTGACAGGACTCTTTTGACATCTATAGTTTAAATTAATTGAACCAATAAACGGTGTCTGATTTTTTTTTTTTTTTTAAAAGAAAAGAAAAAAGAAAAAACTTGCTCTATGACTCATTGTTTGTTTGGACATGAGAAAAGTCGGATGGAAGCAGATAAGAAAGAGTGAGAGCAGACATCTACAGACTTACAAATTGGACACGTGAATAAATCAGCCATCATTAAATTAACGTAAGACACGTGTAGGATAGACTTGATGCCAGAACACTCGATTGCCAAAACAAAATATTTAAAAAATTTAAAAAGAAAACATAAAACAAAAGGTGAGAAAGCCAAAATGAAGTAACGACAAAGACTTGACTCCCACAACACGCGGCGAAGCGAACACTCTCAGCTCCGACACCGTTACTGCCTCTGTCTTTTGAAAACGCACCATCTTTCCCCTTTTTATTCATTTATACATATAATCATGTGGCCTTTATGCGGCTCCCCAGCACTTTTACGGGAATTTCTCTCATTGTAAAGTATAATTATTTTATATTGAATCGTAATAATTATTATTTTAAAAAATAAAAATTATTTTTAAATATATAATAAATTATTGTTATTCGCAGTTTTAAATAGATATACATATTATTATTCATATTAAAAATAAAAATTATTTATTGATGTGTGGTAATCGTTTATTAACGTGTTTTTTAATATTATTTATATAAATTATTTATAATAATTGTGTATGACAGTCGTTTATTATTGTATATTTAAAATTTATTGTTAATTTTTAAATTGTTACAACTCAATATAAGATAATTACGTTAGTCTTTCAACCGGTTATAATGCCACGTAAGCAAGTAATCCTCAATTTTCAAACTGGAGGACTATAAACAAGTCGATGATATAAAATATCCCAAGTCCGGCGGCTATATGGGTGTGGGTGAAAGTAACATTGTGTGTTCCTCAATGTAAGTACACTTAATATAAATTATTGTCTATCACCGTATTACATTAAAATTATTTTAAAAGTAGCATAGTACATCAAAAGTTAAAAAATGGCGTGGAAAATGTTATCCTTACCGCACTTTAGGACCTAACACCTTGTCTATTTAATATATATACACACACATATATACATATATTATCCGCTGCATCTGTACTTCTAAGTCCCAAACCAGATAACAACCCAATAAAAGGAAATAGAAAATCAGTTTCGTTCTTTAATATTATTGTAGTCCTAATTATTATTATTATTATTATTATTTTGTATGTTCCGTTTGGTTCTTTCGGTTTGTTTGTGCAATTGAAGAGCATAAAATGAGCGTTTTATGTTGATATTTCTTTTCGATCTAGTTACTGATACTTTTGAATTAATTAAAGCATTTATAGGGAAGAAAGAGGAAGATCGGTGTTTGAAGGAAAGGGTAAGTGAAACAAGTGCTGTGACTTTGACTTGTGTTTTTCTCATTTTTGTTATTCATTTATTTTTTTTTTTTATCCTACCACATTCGATGTGCAAATTTTCCTCCGGAAAGGAAAGAAAAAAAAAAGAGCTTTTATCTTTTCTTTATTTTTCAAGTTTATTCTTTGCTGATGTGCATATGTAATTGAGTGGTAAAATAGTCCAAAACGAGTACTGTTGTAAGTTTTAGTATTTTGGGGTGAGAAATAGGTATTTAAGGAAAAAGACTTTTTTTCTTGATTGTTCTTATCTCTATGAGTTGGAATACGATTGAGGATCGTCTAAATAGTGCTAAGAAAGGTGTGAAGCAATATTTGGTTTGCCTCTTTTGAGAGAGACTTAAATTAAAAAAGTATTTCTCTTTTATCAAAACAGCAATGTCTTTCGATTCTGGTTTTGATGATAATTCTTCTGCAACAAGAACTGGGCAGTCCAATCTTGAACGCTTTCTTCATTGCGTCACTCCCTCGGTTCCTTCAAGAACTCTTCTTCAGGTTTTTCTTCTCTCTCTCTCTCTCTCTCTCTCGTTTTTATTATGTCTTTTTTTGTTGAAAAAAGTTATATTTTCCTTTTACTGCTTACAATAAAATTCTTAAATATACTTCTTGTTGGTGGTGTCATTTCCAGATCCAACATGTTTTAAGTACAGTCTTGTTCTGTGCAAAAAGCTTATATTCTGAATTCTGCATTCATGAAAATCAAATTATAAAAGAAATCCTTTTTCTTTAATTTTTGGGTGTAAATTCATTTTTTTTCTCTTTTTTTTCTTGCGTTACATTACACATGTTTTATTATTATTATTATTTTTTTTTATAAATAAAGATAAATTTTGGGTGAGTGGTCAACTGCTGGGCCTTGTAGTTCCCCTAAAGATGCTTCGCATATTCTGTTGATCCATTACTTTTCCAGAGTAGTCCTTACATTCTTTGTACACGTATAGATGACATCAGATATCTGCCACTTGAAAGGCACGTGTCAAGTATTTGGACTGAAAACAATATAGGTGTTTGTCTCTCTTCATTTTCTTTTCTCGAATTTTCGCCACCAATAAAGGGTCTGTTCACTTCGCTGATTCGAGTTTGTAATTTGAATTGAGATGTAATTTTATATGAGAACTTTTTACTGTAGCAAAAAAATTAGATGTGATTGTTTGTGAGAGTTTTTTACTGTAACAAAACTCGAATTCTAAACTCGAATTGGTGAAGTGAACGGGGCCAAAGCTTTTGTCAGTCAGTTATTTACTCCTGAACTTACGATGAAAGATATAAAACAAACAGGCTTGTTTAATGAGTTGAGTTGGTGTAAGATATAACTTTTTTTTATTTTTTATTTTAAAGAGTGTGAATTGTACATATTTAATCTTAATGATATTAAAAAAATTTTATAATCTAATGATATTTGGGTTTTGGGTTGGGGCTGTGTGAGGTGAATTAAGTGGTTAGTTTTAACATTTAAAACATTAAAAATTCAAAGTTCAATCAAACATTTAAAGTTCATCATCAAATAGAAATAATAACTAACATTTAAATATATAGAAATTTAAAGTTCAATCCAACATCAAACATTAAGCAAAATAGTCTATCTAACATCAAATATAAAATAAATATAAATTAGTATATATTCATAAATTAATCTTAACATAAAGTAAACATAGAAGTTTAATTCAAACATGAAGAAACTAGATAGTAGAATTGAGTTGTCTGCCTAAAATTAAATATTAGAGGATGTAAGTTAGAGCGCAAATTGTGTTAGGGTGTGCGGGTCATTATAGGCCCAATCCACACTTCGTCCTAAAATTTCGGGTCAGACATTGAATGAGTTGAAAAAAAGAATTTAATACTAAAAATTATATTTTTCGAGTTGAGTTGAGATGAGGTGAGTTGGGCCTGCGGGTTTATATATAGTCCTAAAAACAAATAACGCAATTAATGACCATGTTGATTTTTTTTATGAAAATTAACATGCAACTTGAACATGGGTCGTTAATAATATAAAAATGGTCATTTTTATCTATTTTAACTTGAATTGGTTGGGAGGATCTTTAATTAAGTTTTATCAAAAAATGCAAAACTAATATGCGTGTATTGTGTGTGCGCTTGTGTGTTTGATTGTATATATGCGAAATTGGTCTAACATATTTCAAGAGTCTAACTTAACTCAAAAGGTTAACCTCCTATTAGGTCTATGGTCCATCTATATATATAAATCACATTACATTCTCATATATGGAACAATACACACATATATTTTTCTCAACAGTATGTATGTATGTATGTGCGTGAGCCTTCATTGGTTGATATGCAATCACACAAGATGTGAAATTGTATGTATCCGATTACAATTAATAGCAACTAATACATTTCAATTTAGATCTAGTGTGTTTGATCTAATCTAATTTTAATTCTTTCCTCTTTGTGATCTTAATAATTTCAGAGCTGCATTAATGGCCTAAATAGCTTCTGGCATCCAGTGTGTAAGGACAAAGTTGAATACTTCACACTTGGAGATCTTTGGGATTGTTATAGTGAATGGAGTGCCTTTGGTGCTGGAACTCCAGTGCTTTTAAGCACTGGCGAAACTGTTTTACAATACTACGTTCCCTATCTATCCGCCATCCAGATCTACTGTAATAAGTCGGCCGTTGCTTCTAGGTTTGAATACGAATTTATGTCGGCTATGTGTTCAAAGTTCAATTTTTTCATTTGAAATATTATAATTGAGGATATGATGAGATCAAGTTCTATACCGCTTTACTTCTCCATTAGGAATCGGAGAGAGGATGGCGACTCTAGTACAGGATTTGAAAGCGACTCTTGGAGTGATGATACCGGGAGTGATAAATTGTCAAGGTCTTTTAGCAACAATTCAACAAAGGCTTGGAGTGTTGTTTCTGAGGATTCCAGCTTTGACTTAGAGACTTCATGGACGGGGAAGGATAAGCTTGGATGGCTTTACTTACATTACGTGGAGATGTCTTCTCCTTACTGGAGGCCTCCGCTAGTGGACAAGGTAATTAAAGTCGCTTCTCGGCCCGTTTCTTCGATGTGTTGAGTTTCGCTGTTAATAATGCGGGCGTAAATGCAATTGTTATTGATTTGTTTCTTGAAGATAAATGAATTAGCTCATGATCATCCCGCTATAACGTCTCTCAAGAGTGTGGATCTTTCCCCAGCAAGCTGGATGGCTGTTGCTTGGTAAGCGTGGCTGGTTGTCCCTCTTTAACATGTCAAGATTTGAGTAATGATTTGTTTCTAGTAAATGAATGTCATTACAAAAGCAGATAGATGATTACCAGTTCAATGATTTTGCCTACCTAATCCATATGAAACTATCCTTAATTCTTGCTTTCAGTGAAAAACATATGAATCCCCATATGCATTTGTTTGAGCAGGTATCCAATATATCATATCCCATGCCGGAAAAATGAAAAGGACTTGTCAGCAAGTTTCCTCACCTATCACACTTTGTCGTCGTCTTTCCAAGGTAAACGACCATGCATTGTTTTTTTTTTTATGATAAAGTGCTCTTCAATCAGGTGAGTCTTGCACATTTTTTAAGGTATTTCCATATACTGGTACCGGTATATTCTGAACCGTATTTCTTTGATATAGCACAATCACTTGTTAAGAGTGTTCTTTTCAAGACCATTCTTTGCAACTTCTTCATGACAGATAAATTTAGTAAACTGTTTTATTAGTTATGAAACCTTGGATCCATATCAAAACAGTAGTGCCTCTTGGTGGAAATGTTCTGCAATTTTAGGATTTCTTCTTATCAAGCGTAGGCGCCTTCACAGATGAAGACAACGGTGCCGACCGGGAAACGGTGTGGGAAGAGAGGTCGACAGCAGATATCCTTGGCAGAATATCTCTTCCTCCTTTCGGTATAGCGACATACAAGATGGAAGGAGATCTATGGTTGAAGCAAGAAGCATCTGATCACGAAAGAATAGTGAATCTCTACAGTGCTGCAGATTCCTGGTTGAGGCAACTGAATGTTTATCACCATGACTTCAACTTTTTCACTCACCACTGTGGCCATTTCCATGTAAATTAGTTAAAGATGTGTATCTTTTTTAGTGTTTTAACTTTCATGTCGTTTTCTTTTCTCGGGTCCTCCGGCCTACCACCATGAAAAAGGCTTCTCTCTGCTACTGTTCTGAGAGCATTCAGATGCTGGTGAATTATACTTTCTGAAGCTATAGCTTCTTCTAATATCCTGTCAGAGGGAGTTTTGTGGAATGAGTTGTTTATTATATTAGAAAAATTAAGTTTAAAGAAGCAACTTACAGTTCTAATCCAGTTGCTAATGGTTTTTTTCCTCTCCTTTCTTGTTATTCCTTTCTTCCTTGTTTCGTTTGTTTTCGCCATTTTATTTGGAGTACTAGAAACCAATGGAGTACCTAAAAGAGTAGGGCAATGACTGATTTCAACCATTACGATTGAAAAAATTTTGGAAACCTAAAGGCTTGAAAGAAATCAGTATGGACCCTTGCAACAACACAAACACACGCTTCATTTATTTGCTCATTCGAATTAAAAACTTGAAAACTTGAGTTAAAGACAATTTTAAGAACTTTCTCGAGTTCATTATCTTGTAGTTAAATACAATTTTTTAATTTATAAATAGTTTGTGTTTCTATTTTGGATTTGAATATTGTAGAGTTTGGATTCTACAATTGAATTTGTTTAGAGGGCCAGCTCCTCCCAGACGTCGATCGTGGTTGGCGTCGATTTAGTCTCGAGTCAATTAAATGTTAGAACGAGAACGTAAAGTATAAGAAATTTAATTGTAAGATCTATAGTGGTTTACTTTTAATGCGAATGCTGTTCTATTGTAAGATCTTGATCACTACATATTGTCAAAAGTATAATTATAATGGAGAATAAGAAAAGAAGAGAGATGGGGAGGGGATTTAGAGAGAGTAAATAAGAAGAATGTGTGATTTACAATTCGTGGTATCAATCTTATATGTATAAGAGATGATTTAAGCCTCCTAAGTTTTCTTTTCCTAGAGCTGACACGAAGATGATTTCTCAAACAATCAATTGGTTGGAGAGATACCTTCTCTGTTTTGCAACCTTGATGGGCATCAATGGGCAGGCAAATTAGGAAGTTTCCCTTTCTCTAGTTTCAGTTGACTTTCTTCTTCCTTTATTTTCTTAATTAATTTAAGGGTAACTTCCTGTCCAACTTTAATCTAATTCTTGCGTTTATCTTTAAATTTGGTTGATTTGGACCTGGTGACTTTTAAGGGATCATTGCTTCCCCAATCAATCTTTCAGCAATTGATTCTTCCGATTGACATTCGTTGTGAAACGTTGTATATAAATTTTACTCCAAACAGTAAGCCCTCCACCTTTATTCAATGCAAGTCGACTCAAGGAGTGTTTTGTCAACTCTCAAGCTTCCTCGTGTCGATTTGGTGCAATTGGAGCTTCCTTTGATATTCGTTGGTCTTCTTAGATAGTTTTGGAGCGGTGGGGTTAGAGTGTCGCCCGGAATGGCACCACTTTCGTAGAATCTTCACGTGGCATTGTTTGGTGGGCAGAGTTGTTGCGATTGGATGTGGGAGTGATGTGCTGCAAACTCAAGGCACGTAATTCAGTGGTTTGAAATGATGGCGCCTACTCAAGTCGATCTTAGCCGTTTGCAAAGATTAATGGGATGTTTCGTGTCTCCGTGATTCTGAATCATAATTTTTAATTTTTTATAATATTTTTTTTTATAAAAAATTTAAATTTTAAAAATTAGAATTATAAATTATGATTATCTCGTCTATCCATTGCAATTTTAGGCAATTAACGAGAATTTGAACCAAATTTGGTTCATGTTTCTCATTTCTTCTCACCATAGCCCTTGGAGTTCATCTTGTTTTCTCCCTTGCACGGAGCCTCATCCAAGCAATTTTCTAGGTAAAATCGCCATAGCCTTTTTTTTTTTTTTTTTGCTTTCTATTTCCATTTTCGCTTGCTTAGGTTAGGTCACTTTCATTTTCCAATATGCCCCCGCCCTTAGAGTCGATTTTAGGATTTGAAACCCATTTTTGCTTTCAATTTTCCTGCGAATCAAAGTGGGAACACAATAGGTGAAAAAAGAAATAATACAATTTCGTTTCTCAGACAAACCTATGATCATGAGGCTTTTGGATGATCTTCATGCTTCAGGTGGTTTGGATTTCACCAAGTCACCATTTGAGCCACCAGCTAGTGACTTGAGGCGAGATCATTTCTGTGAGTCATTGGTGGTTCGCTCAGACGTTGCAGCTAACAATGGTGACGATGTGGGGAGGTTTATTTGATTGGGCTATCTCGAAGAGAGCCTTTACTCCATGCTTATAGCTGAGGATGTCACAAGGTTGAGGGAGAAGTTTAAGATCCTGGAGGGAATTGAAATTCGTACCTCGGAGTTTGCAGATAGCTCTTGAGAGGGTGGTTTGTTTGCTGTCTATGTTCTCTTCTTAGAGTCATGTATGAGGTTTTTCTAGCGCCACTTGCAGTTTATCTCAAACTTCTCTTCTTAGAGTCATGTATGAGGTTTTTCTAGCGCCACTTGCAGTTTATGTCTTGAACAACTATCACATGACGATTAGGCAGTTGATTCCGTACTCTTGTTGTGTCCTTTTGTATGTGTCCACTCTCAGAGATAAGGCTAGAGTCGACTTGAGCAATGAGGCTTTTGGACCCTCTATTTTTTGACGTAAAATCCGGACTCACGGCGCCGGTACATATTTAGTTATGTTCAGTTCATTTTGTTAATTCAAATTTTTACTGTAGTAGAAAAAATTAAATGTTATTTTCTGTGAAAATTTTTAACTGTAATAAAATTAAAATTAAAAACTCAAATCGGTAAAATAAATGAGATGTTTATGCCTCACCAGAAAAATCCTTTTGGCCATCGAGCAAGCTAAACTTGCAGAGCAGAAGTGGAAGAACAAGTTATCATGGCAAAAGGGGTTGTTGACGCCCTTGGTTGCAGCTGAGTGACTCCAGTCTAATGGGGTAGACCTTATGAGTTACTTTTATTTAATTATAATTTCTTTTATTATGCTTTTGAGTCATTAAGGGACTGTTCTTTTAGAGTGTGACTTGAGTGTAATTTTTTAGTTAACTTTAAGTTATAACTTGAGTTGAAGTTATAACTTGAATAAAATTGAGTAAAGTTGAATAAAGTTAGAACTTAAAAAAATGTGAACTTAAATAAAATTATAACTTGAGTTTTAACTTTTTCTGAGTTTTATTATAAAATAACAATCCTTAAGTAAATTTTCGCTTTCTTTTGCATTCTTGAGTCGTTTGCTAACTCTTTTCACTTTCTTTTACTTGCAGAACACGCTTGGAACAAATGGTGTTGATGTTGTTGCAACTGGCAATGCGACAACTTGCGCGGCATCAACTCGCAAAGTTGTAGATGCGCTCGTCTTGGAATAAATAACACATTATTAACTCGACACAAATAAATTATTTACGCCAAGTAAATAAATCTCAATAAATACATTTTAGTGAATTCATTATGTATTTCAATTATTTTAAAATGTATTACTTACTTAAAAAAAATTAATCTCATTGGTGCTCTTGAATTGTGGAGTTATTTCTACTTTGTCTTTTAAACTTTAAAACATTTCATTTTATCTTCTGAATTTTGAATTTATCCCATTTAAACCTTTTGTCAGAATTTATGTTGAAATCACATGCAAAAATAGAGAGTTTAAGTGTGACCATGTAGTTTTTACCTTTTTGTTTCTAACATAAATTTAAACAGAAAGACTACACGACAACATTACTCTCTTTTTATCTATATGTTTTTAATAAAAATTACAGCAGAAAAAGTTAAAAGAGAATAATTCAAAATGTAAGGGGGCGTTTGGTATGAGAGAATCAGTAGGAATCATATTCTCAAGAAAGTGATGAAGGATAATATGATTCCTAAGAATAATACATTACTGTGTTTGGTTCCATACATGAATTTTTTTCAAATTTTCAGGAATATTACATTACTGTGTTTGGTTTAAATTCTTAAGAATATTACATTACTGTGATAATAAATAAATATAATAAATATAATAATAATAATAATAATAATAATAATAATAATTATTAATATTATTATTATTATTATTATTATAATAAGATTCCTATGATTTTGAGATTTCTGGAATTTGAATAACACCACGTTGGGTGGTATTTAGATTACCTTAAAATGAGGGAAAGTGAATCCCATGGTAATCACTTTTCTGGGAATCTAAATATTATAATTCTTATACCAAACATGATAATATTACAGATTCCTATTCCCATCCTTAAAATTACTACATACCAAACACCCCATAAGAAGTAAAGTTAGAGTTTTTAAAATTGAAGAGACAAACTGAAAATGACGGTTTAAAATTCAGTAACATCAATGATAATAATCTTTTAAAAAAAGTTTCAAGAACAATTATTGAAAAAAGAAATTGTTAACAAAATTAGGCAGGAGAAAAACACCACCTATCACTCAATTGAATTATTAAATTGAGGAGACAAACTAAAAATAACATTTTAAAATTTAATGACATTAGTGATAATAATCTTTAAAAAAAAAAAGTTTCAAGAACAATTATTGAAAAAAGAAATTGTTAACAAAATTAGGTAGGGGAAAATCGCCACCCATCACTCAATCAAATTATTAAGGCATCGTTTTTTTCACCGATTTGAGTTTTTAATTTTAAGTTTCTACAGTAAAAAGTTCTCAAAAAATGTTACATCAACTTTTTTTACTATAATAAAGAGCTCTAAAAAAATGTCATATATAAACTCAAATCCGTGAAGTGAACGATGCATAAGAAGGAAAAGCAAAAAAAAACAAAAGAAAACCACGTGGAGAGGCTGCATTGTCCCATACGCGGTTTTTTGATTTGCAGGAATTTTACTACGTTTTCTACCGTTACTCTCTCTGTCTCTGTCGGTCCAACATCGCCGAGAGAAAGAATAGAAAGCTTTCAAGCCCGGAGGCTTCTTCACCTAAAACTGTAGATTCCGATTCCCCTCTGATTTCCGGAATCTGATTCTTCCATTTCTTAGAGAGGGAGAGTATTCTCTTTACTGATTAATCTTCAAGATCACAGTTCTTTTGCAATACAAAAGCAATCTCGGAGTTTTTCGCGGAAATTCTGAAATCGGAAATAAAATTGTGAATAAGAATGTGGTGGTTAATCTTGTTCGGTCTCGGGATTGCGGTTGGGGCAGTGGCGATTTTGGGAGCGGAAGCATTTCTCTTGTTCGTCGTCGTCAAGCGATTGAGCCGCAAAACCGAGCAATCAGATCGCAAAATCGAACATCTTGACCACAATCAATCTCTTGATTACTCCCACAACAAGCAGGTAATTTTGGAATTCGTACTTGTTCCTGTGCAATTTTCCATTACGTTTTCTTTGTTTGCTTTCCAAGAAAGGAAATGATTCCTAATTTTCCCAAGTGGAAAGTCTAATTGAAGAAGTGACATTGGCGAATAAAACAAATTCGTGATGCTTAATAACCAATAAATTGCATTTTACAGATTGCCAGAGATTTTAAAATATAACCCTGTGTTAAGTTCAAGAAACATTATTTACAAATTGAAGCCCCAATTTTAGAACTGTTTACCTTTTTCCATTTTTCTGTGTGCTATACAAATTTTTCAAGCCTTTTATTTTCTCTTGTTGATCCGGATGTTTATTGTGTGTGTGTGTGTGTTAGGGAGTAGTTTGGGTTCTAGAATCGAATAAAGTTCCAAAAGATTGGCTGGACAAAGCACCAAAAGAGCAAAAACGGAAAAAGGAATTCTTTGAGGTTTCTCCTGTAAGAAAACATGCAAGAATCAAGGACCAGTCCCTTATTTTGACGGATTCAAATGGCTCCAAGACGACTATGAAGCTGAAAGGCTGCAGTATTGAAGCTGTTTCCGCATCAATGCTATCTTCAAGAAAATGGTAATGCAGTCTTTTGGGAATGAATTCTTTTGCTGAAGAAGATGGTTTTTGAAGGACTTATCTGCGACTTGTCATGTTTTATATCACGTTGATATGTTAAGCGTTGTTTACCTGAAGCAGAATTTGTCCATCAATGGAACCTTCTTTCATTTTTTATGTCGCATTAATCCTTTGGAATGACAATCTAGTTTGAAAAATAGTCTTACACCATGTTTCAAAGCTCAACGTTTTGCGTAGTGCTTCAATAAGGTTATATCATTGCTTGTTTCTGGTTATCAGTACTTTTCTATCAAGGTCCCATGATACAACAAAGAAGCACGATGGTGCACTTTGTTTGAGCAAAGCCTTGATCCACATGTTTACGAATCATTTAATCATATTGGTTTTGCCTGTCTCCTGAAATGTGTTGTCGCAGTTTCATCCAAATGTCTATGATTGCTTTACGTAAGTATCATATCACAAAGTACATGTCAAATGGTTTTCAAAGGCATATAATCTCTTGTTATTGTCTCATGGTAAAAAATAAGAATTGTTATACTTTTAATTCCTTTTTACTCTGGGTTCTTCAGGGCCAAAAGATTCCCCATCAAATTGGAGAACAAGGTATCTGCAATTTACAAGGACAGCAAAACCGTTTACATTTACCTTGAAACTTCTTGGGAAAAAGAATCATGGTGTAAAGCTCTTCGTTTGGCATCATGTGATGATAAAAGTAGGCTTGACTGGTTTTTGAACCTGCAAAAAGAATTCAGCAGTTACTTGACAGCCTTAAATGCTAGATATCCTACATTCATGAAACCATCAGCAGGGTTCCATGCTTCTGAGCTAGTAGATAGGGCACAGAAGGTTGATGGCCCATCATCAAAGGTTCGCACGTTATGGAAGAAGTTTGCAAAGAAGGCTTCTAAAGGTGGTGCAGAAAACAAGTTATCGTGGATTCCGTCTTTGGCCCATGTGGAGAGGACAATAAGTGAGAAATTTAATCCATACCAGGATTCAGCTCAGGGTACTAGCTTCTTGAAGAATTCTCTACCAATTGATGTTGTTAAGCATTCCACAGAAGATAATTTGGTTACATCATCTTTGCCGACATTAATTCATTCAACTAGCCAAAGTCAAATTTCGAGCATATCTGCTGCAGACACTGATGAAAGATTTGGTATAGATGAGGGAACTCTTTGTAAGAATTTATTAATTTCACGGCTCTTTTTTGATGCCAAAAGGAATGCAGGAATGAAAAGATCTCTCCAAGCACGGATTCAGGTAAATTTTTTAACAGGGGTTAAGCATTTTCCTTAATGAGCCTAGTGCATATGCATGTGGTTTTCTGATGCGGTCAGAGAAAGTTTGTTTCTTTCTTTTTTTTGAACTCTAATTTTTTTAATAATAAATTCATTGATTTGATCTTTGTTCTCAAGGTCAATTTACGTCAATCTTTGTAACTTAGTACTATATTAGAGAGGGGCAGAAATTCTCAAAGAAGAATATTAGGCATCGGGTTTTTTTTTTTTTTTTTTTGTATGTATTTTTTCTTTTCTTTTTCTGAGGGTATATATTACTTTTCATTGCACCTAAAAACATTGCCGCTCCAAAAATAAAAAAAATAAAAATTGCCGCCCTCCCTTTTTGGTGGATATATCCATGAAACTTTCATAATACATTGATTCACAGATGTATATGTGTCAGGGGTTTGGAGAAATGATAAACAGAAGATAAAATTGAGGAGATTTTCTATCCCGTTTATAGTTATTCTTACGGGTTGTAAACAGAGCAGAAAAGTGTACATAGGTTGCATACTATTGTCGATATCATATCGTAGGTTATTGTGGCTCTTTTTTCTTTTTTTTTGTGCATTGTGAACATGTTTGCTGCAGAATCGCAGATAAAAGAAATGAAGATCGATGTGCTAGATGCAAATATAATTATGCTTTTTCTTCTTGGTGGTATATAACAGAGAACATTGTCTAATATGCGGACCCCCAGTTACATAGGTGAAGTCATCTGTACTGACGTTGATCTTGGGAATATTCCACCATATATACATGGTATAAGGGTTCTTCCCATGGACACGAATGAGGTGTGGGCCTTTGAGGTGGACATTGAATATTCAGGCGGTGCAGTTTTAGGCATTGAAACAAGACTTGAAGTGCGTGAACTAGATCCGGAAAAGAGTATCGTTGGTCCAAATTCTGAATCAAATTCTGTTGGGGATGTATCATCGGAGCTTCTTGAAGGTTTTGAGTATTTTGGAAAGCAGTTAAATCTTGCTGAAGGGACAATTGAGGAACCAGAGCACAAGGAGGAAGGTGATGCTAATCATGGTTAGTATACCATGTATAGACCATCTTTTAGTATCTAAATTAATCTTTTAGTATCTAAATTATTACATTTCATAGCTCTGGCATTTGTATTAAACCATACGGTTTAATGGAATTCAAAGTTAAATTTTGATTGTCAATAGTAGATAGCTACATAGGGCCACAGGGGATTCCAACTTGTTCAATACTCAACAAAACAATATCTATGAGACATGTAAGAGGGTGTAGATTTCTTTACTCCTAAATGAAATTGGCCTGGCACCTGAATTTTAGTAGTTGACATTGTTTGGTGTATGGGATCATGGTAACTGAATAAACTTGATGCTAACTTGTTCTATACTCAACAAAATGGGACATGTAAGAGGGTGTAGGTTTCCTTACACATTCTAAATGAAATTGGCCTGGCACCTAAATTTTAGTAGTTGACATTGTTTGGTGTATGGGATCATGGTAACTGAATAAACTTCTATATGTTTTTTTTTTCGACTTTATCATTATTATTATTATTAATCTCATCATTATTATTGTTGTTATTATTTATTGTTATTAGTTGTGATAAGAAACATACATAAAGAAAATTTCTAAATAAAGAATGAATTCTTCTCACATGAAATGCAAACAGCACATAACACACAGCACATTAAACCATACTCACATTACCCGCACACTCATGAAAGATCTTCCCAACTTTTATGAGTTGATTACAAGAGAGATCACTTTAAGTCCTTGGAGCTAGATGGTTATAGCAAAGCCAAATGCTGATAGAATTAGATGGTTATAGAAAAAGCCAAATGCTTATTATTCTATTATATGCAGAAAAGAGACTATTGGGTAACCGTATTTAGTGAGAAGTTTTACAGGATTCTTTTTTTACCTTGGAAAAGAGGTGAAATAAGCACATATTTTTCTTCATAGTTTGCTCTTTTAACCTCAACCAATCTTAACAAGCACAGATTATTTAATACGACAAAACCTGACGCATTTATGATACCTGTCTCTTCAATTGAAATGATACATGCCAGGACACATGCTTATAATTTATAGACTATTGGTCTTTTTAAGGACTTAGCGTGGAGTTTACGGCCCCGTTCATTTCGCTGATTCGAATTTAGAATTCGAGTTTTTCTACAGTAAAAAGCTCTCACAAACAATCACATCTAACTTTTTTGCTACAGTAAAAAGCTCTCACATAAAGTCACATCTCAACTCGAATTAAAAACTCGAATCAGCGAACTAAACGGGCCCTACAATTGTGCAGGTCCTTCAGATTTTTTCTTTACAATAGTTTGTCATGTTTTTGTAGGGCCACAAGATCTAAAATGATGAAGGATTGTGATTTTTATAAATTTCTACCTCTACCTATCATTGAGATGTTTGTTTTCTCCAAGTTCCATAGTTACATATTGAATTACACTTTGATCAAGTAATCTGACATCTTTTACTAAGAATAGATCAGAACATATGCCCTTGTCAAGAAATTTATTTTTTAAGAGATATAAATTATTAAACTAGAATGACATAGGTACGATGATCTTGACAAGAGGTGAGGTGAAAAGCTTTAGGAACTTTATCAGGTCAGACTAAGGGATGATAATGAGCAAACAAAAGTAACGTGGAGAAGAGTTGAGGGAAATTATCTGAATATACTCAACAAGAGAAAGTTCTATGTTTTGGTTCTTATATCTGCATTTTCTCCATCTGAGCTTCTGCTTCTTGCAAACAAAAGAAGATATCAATATATTATTACTTTTAGATGTTCAACAAATGTTAAAATAAGGGAAAGATTGTGACAGTTTTAACTGATTGTTTTCTTGGCAGATACGTTAAAAGGGTCTAAAAGTGCTGTATCTGCATCAACTTATCCTTCCAGGTGGAAGGCTATTGTTAATTCTATTGCCAAACAGGTTTCTCAGGTTCGTAAGACACACACTCCCTATATTTTCAGGCCATAGCTTTTGTGTATATGTGCTTTTGTAGCTTGGTTCCATGACATCAGCATTGTTGTTTTTCACTTCGTTGAAAGGGTCTTTCAGACAGACCTTTATTAAACAACATTGTTTCTGAGCTTTTAATCTCCCTTTCCCGGAGTTACATTGCTTATATGATTTCATCTTCAACAAATACGTGCTCAAATGATATAAACTTGGAACTAAAGTTGTGCCTTTACCATTACCATGTGTTAGGAACAAAATAATAGAGGAAACCTCATGATATTGACTTCTAATCGCGTTCTCTACGTTGCATTAAGGAATTTGGACATTATTATTCTTTTTTTTTTCTTTTTTTTTTCAGCACCTTGCATGGAGAATCGTAGAATATGGCTACGTGTTTGTGTCCGTGTTTATGCATTTATCTCTCAATTTAATCCTCTATTATCTCATACTTTCATTTACTCCTTTCCCATCCTTCCCCCTGTCTGCCCTCCTCTCTCTCACGCATGCACGGGCGTACACACACACATGGATCTGTTTTAGAAAGTTCATGATATGAAGGCTTTTAATATTTTCTTAAACTAACCATTTGTATATATAATCAAGGTGCCCATCTCTTTGGCGATAAGGGTAGCATCCCTTCGAGGAACAATACGGTTACACATAAAACCACCACCTTCTGATCAGTTATGGTTTGGGTTCACATCCATGCCCGACATAGATTTTAACCTGGACTCAGCTGTTGGGGATCATAAAATTACAAATGGACACATTGCTTTGGCCCTGGTCAATCGACTTAAGGTACAAATAAGACACTCCGTTATAATCAATTTACCTTCTATTATTAATTTTGATGTTCTTATAAATATATATATATATATAGTACTAATTCCATAGAAACTGATCAGCAGCTCAATTAGTGATAGTTGTTGTTTATAAGGATCATATCCTAAATATACCCTCATGATAGTTGTCCAGGTTTCTAAACAATTTAATCGCAAACATTTTGCTAAAAGGGATTTGTCATCCATAGCTGGTGGTTTTTTTTTTTTTCTTTTTTTTATAATTATTTGGTAGTGAAGTATCTCTCTCTCTCTCTCTCTCTCTCTCTCTCTCTCTCTCTCTCTCTCTCTGTTAAAAGGATGATGCTATGGTGCTTTTGCTGATGCTAGTAGTTTCACATGTGCAGGGGGCAATCTTTGAAACGTTAGTGCTTCCAAACTCTGAGAGTGTATGTATTCCATGGATGTTAGCAGAACAGGATGATTGGGTGCCACGGAAGGTTGCTCCTTTCATTTGGCTTAATCAAGAATCTGCTAATGATCCTGCGACCTCCTCTGGTCAGGTAATTAGCAACCCACCCTGTGAAGGAAAACCCAAGACAGATGTTAATAGAGGGACCTCTAACGCTAATTCTCAGAGCAATAATCGAAATTCAAAGAATGCTGAACGTATTCAACCCATTAGTGAATCTTTAGATAACTTGCCGCGTTCAGCTAGTTCTGCCTGTCCATCGGATAAGACTTTGCAAGAGTTGAGAACCCCATTGTTGGGAAATGATGAACATGGAACTGAAAAGGACAAGGGTGGGGAGATCCCAGAGTCTGAATCAGCTTCTAGGTCTTTGAGTTTTCCCGATAGACAAAATCAAGCTATTGAAGAGGATGATTCGAGGCCAAAGAAAATCGGAACAAGAGCAAGGATGCTTGATCTAGGAAAGAAGATGGGAGAGAAATTTGAAGAAAAGAGGCGCCATATTGAAGAAAAGAGTAAACAAATTGTTGAGAAAATGAGAGGATCAGAAACAGCACGATAATATAGGTAAGAGTTGCTTTTGAATAGTTGCTCTGGCCTATTTGTTTTGCGAATGGTACGTATATTTTCAGTTGCCTAAAACCCCAAGGGTACATAAACGTCATTTTCCGGTTTGTGCTTTTTAGAATAGCTAATTTTCCAAGATGATGCAATGCAGGAATTTCATAGATTTCTTATACTTTGTACGAGATATGTGAAAGACGAGTATTAGTGCCAAGTCCTAGTTAATCCTATCAGGAACATTTTTCATAGTGAGAAACAGATTCTTTGCTGTGTTATTTTCTCTTGCTTCCATAAAAATGCATCTCTAACTGAATTAGAATACCATATTTTTGTTGTGGATTGGTACTAAGGCTTAGTTTGGTAGTGCTGTAGATTTTAGAAAAATTACTTTTAACTGTGCTGAAAAAAGAAACAACTGTTCAAAAAACAATTGAATGTTTGGTAAATTATAATTATAGTAGCTGTGCTGGTTCTAAAATCAGTGTAATAGCGTTTGGTAAATTATGAGATTAAATTACTGTGGATAGTTAAAAATTACGATTATATTATATTATACCATAATATAATATATATAATTACAATATATTATATAAACTGTGCTGAAAAAAGAAACAACTGTTCAAAAAACAATTGAATGTTTGGTAAATTATAATTATAGTAGCTGTGCTGGTTCTAAAATCAGTGTAATAGCGTTTGGTAAATTATGAGATTAAATTACTGTGGATAGTTAAAAATTACGATTATATTATATTATACCATAATATAATATATATAATTACAATATATTATATAGTTATTATTATATTTAATATAATAAAAAAAACTATTATTATATAATATATTATATATTTATGATATAGAATATAATAATAAAAATAACGATTATATTATATTATACTATAATATAATATACATAATTATAATATAATGTATATTTATTATTATATTTAATATAATACAATAAAACTATTATTAAATAACATATTATATAACTATGATATAGAATATAATAATATTATTAAAATGGTTAATATAATGTCAATATTATAAAACATATTATAATATTACATAAGAAATATTAATATTTTAGATATAATATAATTAAAAATTACAACTATATTATATTATAATATATTATAATATATTATATAATCATTATTATATTTTAATATTAAATTATATTAATTATTATATTACTATTAATATAATAAATATAATTATATCAATGTAATATATAATATTATTATGAAATAATAATTATAATATCATATTATAATTATAATACCATATTTTTAAAATAATTATAATATTATTATAATATCATATTTTATGATAAAATAATAATATTAGAGTTATTAATATAATTATGATATTATTTGTTACAATATTACTATTATATTATATTATATTATATTACGAGTCTGAATTTTAGATTGGGAATATTATAAATTTTAAATTTTATTAGAGATATTATGAAAGTTTTATTAATTATACTATGCTGATTTTTGCACAATCTAAAAGTTAAAGTTATCTTTAAGCTGTTTTTCATTTTGATTGTAAATTCTTAAAAAAAATTTTAAAAAATACTTTTGAAGAAATTTACTAAATACTAAAATCAATTTCTGTTATAAGTCGAAGCTGATTTTGAAAAGAAAAGGCAATACTAAACTAAGCCTAAGTAAGATGACTGATAAGCTTTCCTTCCAAGAGTTTGAGAACTGATTTCAAAATTAATATTTGAAAAGTCGTTAGCTGCTACCCCAGTCCCAATGAAATAAAGTAATAATATAATGAGATGGCGGTACTTGTCACGGTTAGTTTTTAAACTGCTATCAAAATTTTAACAACATCAGCTGAAACTAGATTATTTAAAAAGTAAAGCCAATAACAAATTTCTCTAACCTTATCCAATGGTTTCAAGAATTCCGCAATTTACAATTTGTTTCAGGAGTTTAGGTGGTTCATTTTTACCATATTGCAGCGAATAATTTTATAGCAAATTCATGATTTATTTCAGAGTTGGTCACAATTGTTGGTCGAGGTTGAGCCGACATAGTTATGTCAGAACTTATAATTGTTTAAAAATTAAGAGGCAAATTGATGCAATGAAATAGAGAATAATAGAATTTTACCGGCCTAACCCAAAAGGATGATTCTCAAATCCATCTAAAAGAAATTCCACAATGGGAAAACCCCCTAAATTGGAGAAGAAACTCAACTCTAATTCAATTATCAAAATATTCAAAGTCTTCCTATTACATAGATAATGTGGCTATTTATAGCTACATAGAATACGATAACAAAATAACAAGTAGGATAAACGACATATTAATAATAAAACTAAGCTAAATTTCTAAATTAGAACAAACGACAAAGAAAATATAAAAACGATTACTTATGCTTAATTATCCCTACATCACAAATGCAAATTTATATTTTTTAAAAGTTATATTTTGACCTCAATTTTTAAGAAATTATATTTTGATTTTCGTGATGACACCAAACACCGTATTATATAAAGACAACATAACACAATACCACATAACACGATACACTTTATATAATATAATACAATACAATACAAATTACTAAACATAGCCTAAAGTAATTATATGGGAATTTTGTAATTACACTTTCAATTCCAAAACTTGCAGATGAGCGCCACGTATTATTTTTTGTTAAAATTTTAACAGAGAAAAAATTTGCAATAAGTCTAAAATTCAGGAAGAAAGGATGTTACAAATTAGACTTCTATGGCAACTTCTCAGACAAAACCAGTAGCAGCGGTATGAATTTACAAAATTGAAAAAAAAAATCATAAAACCTTGTATTGATTACCAAATCCGACCCAAACCTAGGAAAAATTCTGTTTGAACCTGCAAATGCAAGGATATTTTGAGCGGTATCGAACTACCACTCTTGTAACCGTGCAGGTGTATCTGGAACAATTCCAGAGTTGAAAACATGCAAGTCCATTAAGGTGTTATAGTGACCCTTCTCAATTTCCTCCTCTTTTACTTTATGAAGGAGGAGAGTTTCAATAATCAAATCTTCCCAACTAATGACATCAACTTTTGTACTCTTCCTCTTCTTTCTAGGATGTGAAATTTCCTTACAAGAAATGTTGCTATTATCATCTAAATCAGCGTTTAATGGAAACATAATCCTGTTGATTCGCCGATTAGCGGCATTTATCTTTTCTCTCCTTTTCTCATACACCTTGCAACCGGCAACAAAAGACGGTGGCAAAGCTTCCAATCCCACATCTTTCTCCAATATCTGCTTCAGCAAAAGCTTCTTGCTCAATTCAGACTCTCCATTCCACCACTCTGTACAAACCCGAAAGTCAAAAACCATCCTCTCTCTCCCATGAACGTCTCTACCCTCTTTTCCAGATTTCACATTACCTACTTCGTTTGAAACTTTTGCATACACCATGGATAAGCATTCAGGTGAAAGCGTAAACTTCTTCACATCATCACCACTCAGTAACCCACTCTTCTCATCAGAATATACCTTAAAGTAGCTAGAATCATCTTCCTCGTAGACCAAATCCTTCCCATAGTCAAGACATTTTCTTAAACAGTCACCAACCACATCTTCCAAATCCAACCTTAAACTCTCCAAATCCCTTTTCTCCTTTTCACCAGGCTTTGACATGGACTTCTTCTCCATGTACTGAATAACAAAAGGTGCATTCTTCATAATGTTCTTCACAGTAACATCCTTTCCCCAAGGCAATGCTTGGGCGACCTTAACAAGAGCCTCCAAAAGCTCTCTATACCTAACCTTACTAGTGTAAACCTTGGCGTGAAATTCTTTAGCCGCATCCTCAATCTTGACAGCAACCTCATTCAGTTTGCCAACGAAGGCCAACACCGCGACAACAAGCGGAAGCGGCCTCCTACCGGTGGTCAATGACCACTTGACCATGCACTGGATTAAGAAAATCCCTTGCTTTCTCATCCTCTCCTTGTCTTCCTCCCCGACACCCGCGAAGCTTCGGGAGTTCCTCAATGCCGTCTCAAACGAGTTCAAAATGTCAAATTCGGGGTAATCATCCAATCGCTTCAGATTTAGAAACTCGACGATGCGCTGAATCATTCGCCCCAACTCAAACTCGTCGGAGCCAATCACCGATGAGACCTCGGCCATTGGCAGCGATTTATTGTCCTTCCTCATTACCACATAGGCACAAGCGCCAACAAAAATCGTGAACCAGTGGCCTTGTCCGTACTCCCCCTCGGTGATGGTGGCGACCATGGACTTGACGTCGTTCGATTTGGATCCCGACAATCCGAGCCTATAAACGAGGTCGTCGATGAGCTTCTGCGCGTCGTAGATCTTCTTTTCCTTGTAATTGAAGGTGGAGCCGGTGCCGGCGGTGCCGAGGCGGACAAAGGTGCCTTGTGGGCCGGTGATGCCGCCGAAGTGAGCTTCAAAGCTGTCGAATTCTTGAAGGAGACCGCAGATCTCGCAGACCAAGTGGCCGGTGACATCGTCGCGGACTAGGGATTTGGACTTGCACCGAGTGCAAGAGGTGGATTTCGACATTGTTGGGGAAAATTAGGTTTGGGTTTTGTTTGTTCGCAGAGAAAAAGGACTGACAGATCAAAACTTCGAATCTGAAAAATGCAATATGTAAAAATAAATAAATAACATCACAGATTGAAAAACACAGCTTTAATTTGAAAAGTGGAAACCACAGAATAGACAATAAAAGCCACACACACAGAGCACAAAAATAACAGAATCTGGGAAAGGAATTGAAGAAGAAACTTGCTTACTTGCTTGCCAGTTGCTGCCTGCAAGTGTTTGAAGACGAGGAATTCTTCAATCTGACAACACATAAAGAAAAAGGAAAGTCCCAAATCAAACTCTCAAATAATTACCATCTCATCCACCAGCCGTACCAGATCGAAATCGTCGCGTAGCTTCTTAACCAAGGTTCTATCGTCACTCATCATAAATCGCAGTCACAAATCACAAATGGCGATCGCCTCACCGCCCTGCCACAAACCGCTCCGCCTCGATCTCCCCCACCTCACAAGCCCACCGTCGTGCGAACAGCCGCCGGAATCTCACCCACCCCACAAGCTTTCCACAGCGTCGCCAAATCTGTCGTGAGGTTCTGTAACTGGTTCGGCGAGAGAGAAGAGGGAGGAGAGAGATAGATCGCAAGTGTTTTAAAATTTTGGGTGTTGGAGGGCTGGGATTACACGTTTTTTTTTTTTTTTTTTTTTTTTTGTAGGATTTAATTTGAAGTTGTGATTTTGTTGTATTGGTAGTGTTTGGGTGCTTCTATTTTGAATGGAAATTGACCGTGGGTAAATTTGTTAGTTTGACTATTTAATAAAGTGAAGTTGATAAAATAATTTTTTTATTTTTTTTATGAAGAACGATAATCTAATCGTTTTTTTGTAAAAAAATGGTTGTTCCTAATCGTGTTGTAATTTTACAAATAAAAATTTTTTAAAAATTATTTTGTTAATAAAACTTTTTTATTGAGTCAATTTTTATAAAGACCTCTGCTATATCCTGTGTTCTTGCGAGAGAAAGAA